ATATTAAAAACTTTTAAGGGCATTATTTTTGAGCATTTCCCTGACATAATGAATCAGTATTTGATTTAAAAAGCCGGACCAAATTATTGGCTGTGAAATAAAATTTAGTTGTAACTCTAATGTATTAATTGATTTAAACTGTAAATGAAAAAGGATAATTCCTCACTAAAATATTACATGATTTACATTCATACTCACAATCAGGAAACATACAATTCCTACCTTTTCTTTCTACTGTTGTGTCACCTAATATCTATAACGCATTTTTTTAAAAAATATTTCCCAAATGATAAGAAAGTCCTCACATCACTAAAACTTATCCATAAATGACATGCCGAAAAAGGAAGTCATGCATCATTTATAAACATTGCACTGACAATGAAACTAATTCTTGAATAGATCATTTGAGCCTTGAGCACTTTACAATATACTAAGTTTGTAAGAGAATGATAATCCCTTACTTCATGATAAGTACTCGCTGACGCTCGTACTTATTCATGAAGAAAGGGATTATCATTCTCTTACATATACATGGCGACTAATCTAAATCGGATTATTAATTAACTGTTAACACGTCTTAACATGTTAAAGGTCACTACGTACAATAACGACAAGTTAAAACACGCTTTCAATATTGATTTAACGATTATATTATTTATATAATAACGTGTACGTCTTATTCTTCACAGTCGTAGGTGAATAGATATATAAACAAACAAATATATATATTTGATACACACTTATAGATGGGTTTACCTGTATATCTATTAATAGACTGGGGATTTTCATATATCAAATTAAAATAAAAATAAAAATCATATACTTATGCATAATTAACACAAACGTAATTAGTAACATTTTATAATGAGTTTATCCTCCAAAGAAAATAATTAATTTAATTAATTAATGTCATAATACCTAAAAATGTCGTCATAGAAATAGCCTCACATCGGGAGGCTACCTCTCAGGAGGCTACCTTTTCCCCATAGGGATTCAATTTTTGTTAAAATCAAACTTAGTTTAATTTTGGACCCTTTGGACCTTAATGTAGACCAATTTGAAAACGGAACCAAAGATTAAGAATCTAAATACACGGTTAGATTCGGCATATCAAAGAACCCCAATAATTCAATTTTTGATGAAATCAAACAAAGTTTAATTTTGGACCCTTTGGACCTCAATGTGGACCAATTTAAAAACGGGGCCCAAAATCCAAAAACTTAATACACGGTTAGATTCAGCATATTAAAGTACCCCAAGAATTCAAGAATAAAACCCCATTGAAATTGGTCAAGAAATAAGCAATTTATACGAAGTATCTTCTTTTGCACAATACTGTGCAATTGAATATTTCTTGCTATTGCGCAATACTGCACAATTGACAATTTCTTGCTATTGCGCAATATTGTGCTATTGGATATTTCTTGCTATTGCGCAATACTGTGCAATTGAAGATTTCTTGCTATTGCGCAATACTGTGCAATTGAAGATTTCTTGCTATTGTGCAATACTGTGCAATTGAAAATTTCTTGCTATTGCACAATACTTATTATATAATAATTTACACATCCTGTTTGGTGTGTATCTCCTACCATATCATTATTATTTGCTTTTAAATATAAATCAGAAATAACCAACTTAAAATGGAAAATTTTAAAAGAAAAAAAAAGGAAAAAAAGAAAAAAAAGGAAAAAAAAAAAAAAATCCCTCCCCAAATTTTTTGAACCCCCTTATGATTCATCACCCCCAAACTCAATCCCAGCCTTCCCTTTGTGGTATGGTTCCTTGCAGTACAATTTCAGAGAGATCCATACACTTGAACACAAGTTATTGTCTGGAAACTTGAAAAATGTGTTTTTTGGCCCCTTTTTGGCCCCCAATTCCTAAACGTTTCGGGTAATTTCCCCCAAACTCAATTCCAGCTTTCCCTGTGTGATATAGAACCTTGTAGTACAATTTCAGAAATATCCAAACACTTACACACAAGTTATTGTCATGAAACTAGAAAAATGCTTGTTTTTTGCCCCTTTTTTGGCCCCTAATTCCTAAAATTTTGAGGCAATTCCCCCAAAATCAATTCCAGCTTTCCCTGTGTGATATAGAACCTTGTAGTACAATTTCAGAAATATCCAAACACTTACACACAAGTTATTGTCATGAAACTAGAAAAATGCTTGTTTTTTGCCCCTTTTTTGGCCCCTAATTCCTAAAATTTTGAGGCAATTCCCCCAAAATCAATTCCAGCATTCCCTGTGTGATATGGAACCTTGTGGTACAATTTCAGAGAGATCCATACACTTGAACACAAGTTATTGTCTGGAAACTAGAAAAAAATCATATTTTTGGCCCCTTTTTGGCCCCTTATTCCTAAACGTTTCGGGCAATTACCCCCAAACTCAATTCCAGCTTTCCCTTTGTGATATGGAACCTTGTAGTACAATTTCAGAAAGATCCATACACTTTCACACAAGTTATTGTCATGAAACTAGAAAAATGCTTGTTTTTTGCCCCTTTTTTGGCCCCTAATTCCTAATATTTTGAGGCAGTTACCCCCAAAATCAATCCCAGCATTCCCTTTGTGATATGGAACCTTGTGGTACAATGTCAGAGAGATCCATACACTAACACACAAGTTATGTCTGGAAGTTACAAAAATGCTTATTTTTCGCCCCTTTTTGGCCCCTAATTCCGTAACCGTTGATACCATAACCCCCAAAATCAATCCCAACCTTCCTTTTGTGGTATTGAACCTGATGATTAAATTTCATAGAGATCCATTCACCTAAACTAAAGTTAGAGTGCGAAAACCAATGTGTCTTCGGACGACGCCGGACGACGACGACAACGACGACGACGACGCCAACGTCATACCAATATACGACCGCAAAAATGTTTGCGGTCGTATAAAAATCAATGCTTTAACCTCTTTTTTGAAGTCATAAATCGTTTATGCCTTTAATTTCTTTACTTTGAAATTGCTGTTTCATCGACTTGGTAAAAATTAAATATTGCCGATGACGAAAGCGGGTTTCGTAAAACACAAATTTTATTTTTGTTCTGAGGATTTCGTAACAGGCAGCGGGAAAAATAAAAATAAAAGTAAAAACCACTTCTTTTATTTTTATTCTGAAATCGGGAAATTGGAGTCGGCGGTTCTCGTTAAACAGATAATAAAAAAAGTCTGGCCTCATGGACAAATGACAGACGGAAACTTCGTTCCATTATTGTAATTTGTATGTAATTATTCCTTTGACCCTCTTATGGAATAAAACATACCTAGGTTTCTGACACAGAATAACTGTAGTCACAAGAACTTAGAATTGGTTATATGATTTGAATTTTTATTAAAAAACTATATTATAATATAAAGCAATTATTAGCTTTTGTGCAAGACACTAATATGCTGTTGCGAATTGAACCCCATCTCCAAACCACCCCCCAAAAAATAATTTTACCCCCTCCTTTTTTTTTGCTTTTTGTGCAATGCACTATGCTGTTGCATTTTGACCTCCCCCCTTTTTTTTGCAAAAAAAAATAATAGTTTTCTTTTTAATTTCTGAAATGAGTAAAAATTGTCCCCCCCCCCATATTTTTTTTACCCCCCCCCTTTTTTTCCCTCTTTTTCCAAAAGAAAAATTCTTTCCCTCAAGATATGGTCATAATCTCAATTCAAATTTCTAAAGGAGTTTGCAACCATAATTACCCATTTAAATACATCATAAAAGTCTTAAAGTAGAAAATGACATACATAATCATGGCTAAAATAATATTAATTAATAGTAACTTATAAAAATAAATTGACAGCTAATTATCTCAAGACAATACAATATTTCTTTACACGTAATTTACAAGTAGTGTAAGGGAGGTAAATCAAAACATACACAACATTGTACTTTAAATGTATTTGAACTACCTCCCTCACATTGCTTTTAAAAATGTCGTAATTGTCCATTAACCAGGAAACCCCTTTTTCCCCCTTTTTTGCCCCTAATTCCTAAATGGTTTGAACCATAACCATAACCCCCCAAAAGTCAATCCTAACCATCCCTTTGTGGTATGGAAACTTGTGGTATAATTTCACAGAGATTCATACACTTAAACACAAGTTATTGTCTGGAAACTACAAAAATGCTTATTTGGGCCCCTCATTCCTAAACTGTTGGGACCATAACCCCTAAAATCAATCCCGACTTTTCTTTTGTGGTTATAAACCTTGTGTTCAAATTTCATAGATTTCTATCTACTTATACTAAAGTTATTGTCCGGAAACCAACTGTCTTCGGACGACAACGACAACGTGATGTGATAACAATATACGACCACAAAAATCTTTTGCGGTCGTATAAAAAGTGGTATGATTGCCCATGAGACAACTTTCCACCAGAGAGCAAATGATGTAGAACTATAGGTCATCGTACGACCTCCAACAATGAGCAAAACACAAAAAGGGATAGCAAGCTTTAGGGGCACCGAAATGACAAAATGTAAAACATTTGTGTAATACAATTCAAAAGAGAAAACTTACGCACTGATTTTATATTATGCAGATTATTAAAAAACAGTCAACAAAAAACAAATATAACATACAGCAATAAATGACTACTACATGTATTTAATTACTGTGGCTCCTCAATTGGGACAGGCACGTATATATACAGAATGTAAGCCGACGATACCATTTAAAAAATATCATAATCATCATGTTCATGTGAAATATGTGTTCTCATGCGTCTTTGTTCTTCACCAAGCCAGCTTAAACCTTTACCACATATATTGTCCATCACAGTTATAAGATTTATCATGTTTATCACACGCTGACTAAATCTTTTTCCACATAAATCACAGTTATAAGGTTAATCACCTTGTATGAGTTCTCATGTGACGTTCTAAATTACTATGATGACCAAACTTGTTACCACATACATTACAGTCATGCAGTTTTCAACTGTATCTGTTCTCATGTGAATCTGTAAATTACTTATTAATACTAAGACGAATTAAATCTTCATCACAAACATCTCATAAGGTTTATCTCCTGTATGTGTTTTCATATGTCTTTGTAGATGTCCAAGCCGACTAAACACTTTACCACATACATCACAGTTATGAGGTTTATCACCTGTATGTATTCTCATGTGTATTTTCAAATGACAATGCTGACTAAACCTCTTACCACATATATCACATTCATAAGGTTTATCTCCTGTATGTGTTCTCATGTGAATTTGTAATATAGATGACTGACTAAACCGTTTACCACACATTTCACAGTTATGAGGTTTATCACCTGTATGTACTCTCATGTGTACTTGTAAATGTCCAAGCCGACTAAACCCTTTACCACATATATCACAGCTATGAGGTTTATCTCCTGTATGTGTTCTCATGTGAATTTGTAATATAAAGAGCCGACTAAACCGTTTACCACATACATCACAGCTATGAGGTTTATCACCTGTATGTATTCTCATATGACTTTGTAAATTACCAGGCTGACTAAACCCTTTACCACAAACATCACAGATATGAGGTTTTTCACCAGTATGTGTTCTCACATGTCTCTTTAAGTCACTACTTTTACTAAATTCTCTGCCACAAACATCACATTCATGAAGTTTTTTGCCAGTATGTGTTTTCACATGTCTCTTCAAGTCACTACTTTGACCAAATTCTCTAGGACAAACATCACAGTCATGAGGTCTTTCACCAGCATGTGTTCTCATATGTCTCTTGAAATCACTACTTTTACTAAATTCTCTACCACAAACATCACATTTATGAAGTGTACCAGTCTGCATGGTCGGTTTGCTTATGTGTCTCTGTTAACGTTGTGTGCCATTGATTGTGACGAAATCTTCTACCTCATACATTCTATTTAATGTGTATATATGTAATAATAAAACTATGATCTTGTACAATTCTGTAAGGAACAAAATAATAAAATAAGACATAAGGCCAATTAAAATTAATTGATAGATTTTCATCCCCGCCCGCCCCTCTGAAATCGTCCCGCCCCAATTTTTTTTATTTTTAAAAATTTACGATTTCTGGATTTTGTTCATTTCCGTTACCGGTAACCACCGATAATTCCATTTCATTCAAAACTTCCAGTTTCAAATTTCGGTTTCGTATTTCTTCGAGTAATATAAGACAAGTCGACATATTCTTCTGCTTAATGATGACAACATTTTCTTCTGAGAATATAGATTGATTACTAGAAGGGCATGAAATATTCTGGTTACGAGTTATAGGTGGTGTCCAAGAACGCTAATCGCGGTATGTCACAAATTTCAGTGATTAGAAAACCATGGATTTTTTTTATTTATACAATGACTTTGTGTCAGGAAATTTGGACTGTGAATGATATCCAAAGCGCAAGAATCGTGGAACACATTGGTACAAAAACATGACTAGAATAATATAATTTACACAAGCACGAACTTTATGACCGTATATTGAGTACAAAGAGTCAGCCAACGTACAAAATGTATTATAGCAAGCCCTTAGATTTAACCCCAAAGGCTGTCGTTTTTGTAGACAAACAGCAAACACCCTCTGTCCCAAGCCCCTCAATAGAGTCATTTAACAACTTCTTTTTGGTTCAATTCATGTTTTACATTGCAATTAAATTTGTACCTTGCATAAGAATCTTAAAAGCACCAACCCTAGTATTTTCAACACAGTTTGAGTTTTCATTTCACTCTGTACTCATCATATTTGTGTTGCGTACAAATGCATATGCTTCATTTTATGGGCACTACAAATCATAGCTTAGAAAGCAAAATAAATTTGATCTAGATAGTCTAAAAGAGAACATTTCTCCACGTTTTAGCTACAAAATGTATTACTAAAAAAAGGTTTCTAAAGCGGCAATTACATGTAAAACAGTGGTTGCCAATCAGAAATATTAATTCAAGAATTCGAAAAATAATGTAGAATTCCTTATATATACATGATATAAGCTTATTATTACCCTTGTATATGAACAACACGTCACAAAAGGGTATAGAAGGAAATAAAAAATAAAAAATAAAATCCTCCCACCCGCCCTATTTTAAAAAAAAATCTGGATGAAAATCTACTAATTAATTTTAGTTGGCCTACATTTGTAAACCTTTTGATTCTTTCCCGGGCATCACACATAAAATATCTATTTTGACATTCTCTGCATTTATGCATCTGCTAGTTTGGGTTATTTAATTCCATACTTTGTACAACATGAAGAAGAATTATATAAGCTGTACTGCATCATTGATGTATACCTCACGTTTTCTTTATTCATAAGGAAAAGAATGTTGGTAAATGTTAACATTATTTAAAAGGCGGTACTTTTACCTACATGTACATAATTGTTAACTTTTCATACATTGTGATTTGGATGGAGAGTTGTCTCATTAACATTCATACCACATCTTTTTATTTATAATAAATAAACTGTTGACACAGACATATGTCTTGTCTGTCTGCAGAAAAAAATTCAGAAGAGATAATCTGATGTACAGCAACATTGCTTATTAATATGAAGTTGCTGGACCATGAACTAGGGACAGGATCTAAAAATAGCAGCCAGCATGGTTCAATTTTGTCAAAATAAGCTAAGAAACATCGATGATGAATTATTCACTTGCAAGTGAATAATTCAACCTCATTGAATCTGTATTCATGTGATCTTCAATTTAACGCCTTAGCTAGAGATGGATTATGCATGATTGATGCATGTTAGGTTATTAAAAGAAAAGAATGTCATTATTGAAAGTGAAACAATGGTAAATCATTTGATTGACCGATTTGATCCACAAAAAATCATTCTTATTCAGGTGAGGTAAAATAAAATTTTCAACCTTAAACTTGAAATCAAACAGACATAGAAAAATAAATTTGCATGAGGTCCATAAAATATATAATAACAATAATAAATTTAATTTATTATTGTGTCACATACTCAACTGATTGTACATTAATATACACTGACATAATAAAAATATACATTAAAAAAATCAATACCCAGCCATTGAGTTGACTTATGAGACACATATTTACAAAACATTTCACATTTATATATGTGCAAAAGTGATGATTTTCTATAAATTGTTTGAAATTTCACAGTGATATCATACTTTACCTTTGTTTAAACCTGTTTATTTACTTTTGACTTTAATTATTTATCCCTTGTAATTTTTTATTAACTGTGTATTTGCATTCAGGTGTCACAGGTCAAATTTATTCATTCATTGTGTGTTAATTTACGTTTTTTGATTGAGTTAAGCCTTCCAATTGATATTTTATAGTGTGTTTTTCTATGTTGTGATGTTATACTATTGTATCAGAAAAAGGAGAAGGTTTGGTACCATTAAAACGTTTAATCCCGCTGCAAATGTTTGCACCTGTCCTAAGTCAGGAATCTGATTACAGTAGTTGTCGTCTGCTTATGTAGTTCATACGTGTTTCTCGTTTTCTCGTTTTTATATAGATTAGACCGTTGGTTTTTCCATTTGAATGGTTTTACACTAGTAATTTTTTGGGGCCCTTTATAGCTTGCTGTTCGGTGTGAGCCAATGCTCCGTGTTGAAGGCAGTACCTTGACCTATAATGGTTTACTTTCATAAATTGTAACTTGGATGGAGAGTTGTCTCATTGGCACTCATACCACATCTTCCTATATCTACATATAATTATATAACATTTACTAACATTTGTTTTTTGTACAATTTCAAAAAGATTTATTATTTAAATGATAACAAATTCAATTAATAAATTAAAATAATAAATTATATCTAGATAAAAAATATTATTATTTATTTCATAAATATCACATGACTTTAAAAGTAAGTTAAACATGTTAAAAGAACTATAAAAATTAGTATCTCAAACTAAAAATAACTTTCGTATCATAAAAAAATTAAAAATACTTTTGCTTAAAAAATGCTTGAGTTGAATTTCATGACAATTCATCATTTGTTTATCATTTCAACAAATTTCTGATCATCGTCTAAAATCATGAAAATAGCAAAATTTTCGATACAATTTGAACATTCAGAAAATAAAAGCCATCTACAGTCATCATAAAGAGAACAATTTAAAAGAAAGTGTTTTTCAGATTCAACACAATTGTTCGTACAACAATGTACAAAGCACACAAAGTCTGGTATGAACTGGAATTGGTGGCCTGGCATTCCTTCCGGTTTCGATGGCTAGCGGTAGCGATCTGGCACAGTATAGAACCATACGTGTTTGCACAAGGTCCATATATCTATTTATATTTATGTTTATGTTTATGTTTATATCGTGTAATGTGACAGTCGGTTGTTTTCGATAGTTAATTAGATGGCGTCTAGACTAAAATACACACTAAAACAAAGCTACATATTATCGAGCCCATGCCCTGTAAAATGTTTATTTTAGACTATTCATAATTTGGATAAATGTTTTACATTGGTTATAAATCTAATATGAGAATTTGAGTCAAATCGGTGAACATGAATTTGACATGTAAGACAGCTAGTGCCCCATTAACAGCTCGACAACTTTCAGTTTTGAAAGTTTTCTATCTATAAGTACTTCATGTGCTTGTACAGTGTAGATGAAAATCATTCTTGGTATAAAATATTCCCTTTGCAGGGTAAAATGATTCTTTTTCAGTAACATGAGTAATGACAATTTCCAAGACTAAATTACGTGAAAGATGACCACCTGCACTACTGGGGACTATTCTTTGCAATTTCTTTTTAGAGTAGTGTATTTTCCCATAGAAAACACTGTGTATTAGATCACCAGAGTTAATATAAATATGAATTTGATTAGATTGGGTGGTATATATATGGTATCCTCTGTTTCGGTTTCTTTGACATACATTACCATGATTACTTATAAAAGAACGAGTTGTTCAAATACCACACCAACAATGATTCTATGAATTGATTTTCTATAACGGCAGTAATGCACCTTCCTTTGTCAGACTTACTTACATTACTTATAAAAGAATGAGTTGTTCAAATACCACGCCAACAATGATTCTATGAATTGATTTTCTATAACGGCAGTAATGCACCTTCCGTTGTCAGACTATTGGGGTGTTTGACTACTGGGCTGTCGGACCAATAAATGTATTTACACTTTTGGTATTTAGCTGAATTTTGTCTCTGAATGACCTTAAATCTGTTCCGAATAACCTTCTGACGTCAAGCATCAATCACTTTTTACAGTCAAGGATATAACTCTATAGGGTTATTACAGAAAAATAACATACATTTGTTATTGTGGACTAACAAATCAAAGAACTGTAATAACATATGTATGTTACATGTTTTAAAGGGACAATATACACCATTAGTTTTGTTAAAATGTATACAATATCAAAATGAACTGTTTGTAAATTTTATCATCTTTTGCAAGGACGAAAAAAAGTGCACTGCAAAATCCAGTTAAGTTTTGAATTTTCTAAAACATACAATACATTTGAATTTTATTTACATAGGGCATGCTATGCCTTAAAACTTTTGCAGATGCACAGGTTTATCTGTACTCAGAGTAAATTTTGAGGTGAAAACGCAGCCAATTTAGCCAAAGGGTCCACATGAACCTTAACTATACATGCTATAGAAAGATATAACAGTTCATAGTTTGCCAATCATGCATAGTACACCTATGTTATTACAGAAAAAAATATGCCAATAATAACTAAAGGGTGTTATTACAGCTTCTCTACATCACTCCTAAGCATTTGACATTCATCATGCTTAATTACAATGTATTTTATTTTATTGTAAGAAATAATGATCAGAGCATGTAATGAGGTTCTGGGCAAGCTTCCTAGTAATTCCCAAGTGTCTTATACATGTCATATAACCAAGTTACAAGTTACATGCCTTTAATAACTAAGCCTTGTTATTACAGCTAAGTTTATCCCTTAAAAGCCACTTCTCATTGATTTACCTTGGTTAATGAAAAATGTATTAATTTAACTCAAAAAATAGTTATCAAGGCTATGCATTTAGTTTCTGCGTAAATTTTCAAGAGTTCCCTAGAGCCCACTAAAAATCAAAATATTTATGATTTATTTTACAAATAACAAACATATCATATGTTATTACAGATTTAGAAAATTTAAGGATTAAAGAGAAGACAACTCATGAAAGTATCTGTAATAACACATGCAAGTTATTTTCTGTAATAACCCTATAGAGTTATTTCCCTGACTGAAGTTCTATTGATATTACTATTGTCTTTATCATGTTTATGTATACTTAACTATAGAAAGATATATAACAGTCCATAGTTTGCCAGTCATGCATAGTACACCTATGTTTAATATTACATAAAAAATATACCTATAATAACTTAAGGTGTTATTACAGCTTATCTACATCACTCCTAAGCATTTGCTCAGACAATCATCATAAATTACAATGTATTTTAATTTATTGTAAGAAATAATGATCAGAGCATGTAATGAGGTTCTGCACAAGCTTCCCAGTAATTTCCAAGTGTCTCATATAAAAAGTTACATGCCTTTAATCATGTTGTTAATAATTTTAGAAGCCTTGTTATTACAGCTAAGTTTATCCCTTAAAAGCCTCGTCTCATTGATTTACCATGGTTAATGAAAAATGTATTAATCTAATCAAAAATAAGTTATCAAGACTATGCATTTAGTTCTGTGCAAAGTTTCAAGAGTTTCCTAGAGCCCAATAAAAATCAAAATATTTATGATTTATTTTACAAATAACAAACATCATGATATGTTATTACATGTATTACAGATTTAGAAAATTTAAAGATTAAAGAGTAGACAACTCATGAAAGTATCTGTAATAACACATGGTCCAAGGACACAGTTATCATCCTTTGGTTTTCGTTGTCTACAAATATAGTCCCTAGTGTGAACAGTGTATAACTTGCATTTTTTTTTGATACACTTTCCCAATTTATTTCTTGATATTTTATGCATGAAATATTAAGTAAGGGGATGAAATTACATGTTAAAAAAATTTGGGTGCTGAATCTTTATGTTAAGTAGTGATTTGGTCCAGTTAAAAAAGGTCAAAAATTAGAATGTCTGAAGCTGTCAAACTGAATTTTAGCCCCCTTAACACAGAACTGTCAATATTTTGAGTTAGAGCTGGTAGAAGTTTCTATAATTTTGATATTATTTGTATCAATAGTAGTACACTACACTGTAAAAATCTTTTTGAGATAGAGCAGGTGCGATTTTTTTAATTTGAATTTATTGTCTAAAAGAAATGCACTACGAAATAACTGTGTTCTCGGGCCACATGCAAGTTATTTTCTGTAATAACCCTATAGAGTTATATCACTGACTGTTTTAATTGTATTAACGTCAATTTTTTTAATTGTGTTGTTAAAGTTTACAGGAACCTGTGTGATTTTACGTAATGGTGGATAAATTTGCATACAAGTGTAAATACGTCAATGGGGTGTTGAAACTAATGGGGCGTTGGACTAGTGCCAGTAGTGGGGTGTCTGTCTGAATATGGAGGAATCTGGGTCCGTTCGCGCCCAATCACGTTCGCCCCCATGCACGTTCGCCCCCCTTTCACTTTCGCACCCTACACGTTCGCACCCAAAGTCCGTTCGCACCCTACACGTTCGCGCCCATTTTTTATTGGTTTTGTTTTTAATCATTTGTAAACGAGTTTTGGTAAGTGTATTGCTATAAATATATATTTTTTCATTGTTTCTAAATAAAGTGAGATTCTGACAAGGTTTTTTTTGTGTCATGGTAAATATATTGAAATAAACATTTTTTTTCATTGTTTTTAAATAAAGTGAGATTCTGACGACCAGTATTTTATTTTTGTGTTGAATAATTTTTAATCATGTTTGGATAGTGTATTGCTATAAATAGTTTTTTCATTGTTTATGAATAAAGTGAGATTCTGACACACATGAGATCAAAGGAGCCAAGCAGTTAAAAACAATTATCTTTCATGTTTTTTATTTAAAATCTTCAAAGTTTTACTCATACCAAGCTAAATACATGCAGTATTTACATCAACGCAAGTTAAAACAACCATGACAACAATCATAATTTTCAAACACTCAACAATAACACCAAATTAGGCTGTGAATAAATACCAATTAGCAGTAATCATACATAATTAACATTTAATAATTAATCATCAAATCAATTTAAAACTATATTTCATTTAAAATTCCCGAATTTTTATTTATGAAAATAAAATATTTTGATATAAACATCTACAAAACACCTAAAAATTTATCAGGTTTTTGAATAAAAGAAAAGGGTGCGAACGTGTAGGGTGCGAACGGACCTATCGGGCGAACGTGTGGGGTGCGAACGTGTAGGGTGCGAACGTGTATTGGGCGCGAACGTACCCGATACCAATATGGAGAGACCCCGTTGAGTCAACGGTTCAGTGCTGTGTATTCATAATTGACCTGGCGAGTTAAGGGTTTTCTCATTGTTGAAGTTCATACGATTGCCTATAAGTGCTTGCATGATATATATACATCTACTTCATCTGAACGTTGGTGGATAGTCTCATAATTTTACAATCATATAAGACCTAAGTCATAACCTATTTACGGTCTCAAAATAGCAAATCGCCAAAATGTAAGTTTAAGTCTGTACAAGTGGATACTAGTTTCTAAGTTTTCACGTTATAAACAGTTTTGTTTAAGTGCACCAATATATTTTTTCACTCCAGTTTGTAAAAAATAAGACAAATCGTTAACTTACTTGGTTCCCAGACTTGGTCTAATTAACAGGGCAAATATAAGTCGAGGGAATGAGACCAACGGTATCATTCTTTGTACATGTCCACTACCTAATCTGTAAGTTTCGCCTCTGGCAGGAGCACCATCAGTAGCAGGTATTTTCGTACCTTAGCCATTTCGTACCTCTGCTATTTCGCACCTAAGATTTACCATTACGTACCCACGATAAAAACTATTTCGTACCCTATCGACCAAATTCATCTGCCATTTCGTACCTCATGGACTTTAAACATTGTTTACTATTTCGTATCATATATTTGTAGAAGTTCTAACTATTTTTTAAGATATAAAACATTTTGAGATAACAATTTTTAATATAACATAAATAAATTGCACCCAGCCGTAGAAATTTTATAAAGACCCATGATTGGTTTGACTTTTTAATATTTTGTATCAAATCACACTTTGATTGTTTACCAGCTAATTGCTCCTTAATTAATTTTCAACTCTTAAAATATCAGATTAATTAACCAACAAAGGAATAATCAGATGCAACTGTTTTTATGATAGTAATTTATTATTAATTTTAAACAGTTATTTTCGTCAGGAAATCCAGCGAAAAGGGACACACGCTGATATTCACACAAGAAGAATGCCATAAATAAAAATGTTTGCATAAGAATTTGCTCCTTATATTACTAATCAAAGAACTTGCTATGGCTTTTCAATTCGAGAAATAAAAAAAAAAGATATATACATTTAGGTTCAACTACACCTTACGAAAATCAATTGAATATATACCAATATTTAGACACACGTCACAATTTCAAATGGCACGTGTATTCAATAAACGTCTTTAATCCAATTAGAAAGAAAGCTACCTTTTTAAAACAATATGCCTGTCTCGAGACGCCAGTACGGCGCATGTCTTTAGTTACAAGTTTACAAAGTAACAAATTCAATGTAATCGGCATAAATGTGAACTGTTACTAAAGCGCTAGCTAATACTTGTATTACTTGAAATAAATATCATAAATTTTAACCAAGAAATGAAACTCATATAAATCTTCCACGAGGTTCAAAAGTGCATACCTGTATACAAATCTTCAACGAAGTACGAAATGGTATACGTACAAACCTCTAATGAGGTACTAAATGGTATACATACAAATCTTCCATGAGGTACGAAATGGTATACATACATATCTTCCATGAGGTAGTAAATGGTATACATACATATCTTCCATGAGGTACTAAATGGTATACATACAAATCTTCCATGATGTACGAAATGGTATAAACACAAAATCTTCCATGAGGTACGAAATGGCATACATATAAAGTTTCCATGAGGTACGACATGGCATATATATATATAAATCTTCCACGAAGTACTAAACTGCATACGTATAAACGTTCATTAGGTACGAAATGATTTACATATAAATTTTCCATGAGGTACGAAATGGCCAAGGTACCAAATAGTCAGGGTTCGACTGGTTTTTGCCAGGTTACGAAATGGGAGGGGGTACGAAATGTCTATAATTCGCACCACCAAACGGTGTATTTAGGGATTTCATTTGGGTGTAAATCGCCGTTTCATATAAATACACTCCTACATAGTAGCACTGCTCGTTCAATTTTGTCATTATGGCTTATTTTATGTCCTTGTCCGCCGACTCTAAACGGATAAAGCTTATTAATTATTTTTATTTACTCGGCCAAAACAAAGTCGAACTTTAACAACTCGGCCTGCAATTATTAATACATATATTACATGTTTCAGAAATAACGTGTTTGCGGTATACCATCTTTTCCGCAAGTTTATAAGTTTATTATTTTCTGTTTGGTATTAAATTAATAATTAAGATCCATTTTTACATCTGGTGATCTGTTTATTTGGTATGAACGTTACCAACGGTATGAACGTTACCAACGGTAGTGTCGTCAAGGACAATTGTTAAATCGTCGCCTGAAGATTGCCAGAAGGCATGAAAGCGCTAGTGACATTATTTTAACGAACTGTTATTATTTGATGTGAAATGTAGTCTGCGAATTTTAAATTTTAATATATATATATATATATATATATATATATATACAAGTCTAAATTGAAAACAACGTTGAAACCTATGATTGCGTTGGATAAAAACCGCAATTTTTATACGTGTGTATGCAAAACAAATTTCTTGGTAAATTGGTCTAAATACAGCACAAACAACATTTTCCAAAAGACCAAAAAAAGTGAAAAAGTATATTTTAACAAAACACATTTGACTAACAGGTCGAACAACAAATGTTCTCAAACCCTGCTGACTGCCATTGGCAATATATATACATATGAATATATGTCTCTGGTTTAACGAAGATTTAGTTTTTTTTTTTCTTCAATTTTTTAACATTATTTTTGTTCTACTTAATTGATAACAACGAATTGACGTCACGTGGTAATTAGTCCCCTACCGACGAAGTCGAAGGGGGCTTTAGGTTTGCACTCTATCCGTCTCACTCTATCTGTCCATCCGTCAGTCCGGCAAATCAGTTTTCCTGTTTTTTTTCTTCATTATTGAAGAAATTGATTTGATATTTGGTGTATTGTTTTATCATGACAAGTTACAGGTCAAGTTCGATTTTCACGATTTTAGCTTTTCTCCTTGTTCAGTTAAAACCATTTCCCTAGAATTAAATTTTTGATGAAATACTTATTAATCACTAGATTTCTGTTCAAAGGGAAACAACTCATTTTTTAATAGATTTGTAAAAGAATTTGTATTAAGATAAATGACGTTTTGGATTTTTTTCCTTTTCTTGAGTAAATTGTTTGAAGAATTTAGTGGTAGGTTTGTTTGTTATTTTATGTAGTTTACACCATGACAAGTTATAGATCAAGTTAGAATTTTGTTCCATAACAATGAATTTTTAACCGGTAGGGGACTATGTATTGCCATGCAATACTCACAGAATGCATGTTCATATAGATTTTTGAGAAAAATAAAAAAAACTTTGAACACAAGTTCATGGTAATGCATGGCGAGTTCTAGCGGACTGTCAGGCAACATCGAACACCGACACCACATTAATTAGGTTAATCACCAGTATTGTGTTTACATGTCTCTCTGTGAGTTCGGGCTGTAAGTAAAAAGTTGAGCACTTACACTACAGTAAATAGGTTTATCACCAGTATGTGCCCACATGTCTCTCTGTGATTTCAGGCTGTAAGTAAAACTAGAGGCTCTCAAGAGCCTGTGTCGCTCACCTGACTCTACTTGGGTTTTTAAAATCATTTAAAAAAACATAAAAATCATAACAGATACTTAAATAATGATTGAGGCCAAATTTGGTTTTATATTAGCCCCATGATTTAATAATAAATCCTGGTGGCCATCTTGAACAGTAAATCAGCGACAAAGTAGCAACACTTCATCAGCACCTCACAAGGAACATTGATGACATGTTTAGTTTCATTCCAAGCAGTGGTGCTCTAAAAGAAGACATTTGTATGTATTTCCAATAGGGTCCTATGTTAAACTAAGTCCCCCGATGGCGGCCAGCTTGGATGATGGATTGGCTTCAAAGTAACAACACTTGGTCAGCACCTCAAAAGGAACATTCGTGCTATGTTTGGTTTCATTCCATTCAGTGGTTCTCTTAAAGAAGACATTTGTATGTATTTCCCGTAGGGTCCTATGTTAAACTAAGTCCTCCGCTGGTGGCCATCTTGGATGTTGGATCGGCTACAATGTAACAACACTTGGTCAGCACCTCATAAGGAATATTCATGCAATGTTTGGTTCCACTCCATTCAGTGGTTCCCTAGAAGAAGTTCAAAATGTAAAAAGTTAACGACCACGACGGACGACGGACGCCAAGTGATGAAAATAGCTCACTTAAAAGAAGTTCAACATGTAAAAAGTTAACGACGACGACGACGGACGACGGACGCCAAGTGATGAGAATAGCTCACTTGTCCTTTCGGGAAGGTGAGCTAAAAATGAGCACTTACACGACATTAAGAGCCATTCTCTGTAAGCATCAAAGAATTTGAAAGAAAATGAGAAATGCATACTCCATGATTTCCTTTATTTTCATATCATGGGTTTGTCATGGTGCACTGACAACAAAAATAATAATCATTTCAAAAGTTGAAGTGTTGGTTGCCATGGAAACAAGTTATTTTAAATTTGCTCGAAAAACATCAAAAAAGCATGATGGAAAGTGCATTTTTTCCTGTTTTTACCACTTTTTTTGTAACAGAATGAAAACATATATCCCCGGTTGTCCTTTTCTATCAACCTATTATATATTAGTGTTTTAAAATATATTTGAAATTTGTTAAAGCTCTTTCATCTAAAGTAAAAATTTTGAATTTTAAAATTGGATGTTTTTTCAAAAATCAAGATTAGCAAAAATTCACAAAATAACCCATTTTTATGGCTCCAAATTTTTTTATTCCAGATTTTGTGGCATAAACGAATATCACCATTAAGAAATATTGTATTTGATGCATTCTTGACAAAAAAATCTCAGAGGGTATATTTTTAGTTTTTTTTTAAATTTTGATTGAAAAAAGGTCACTTTCGAATTTTTTGATTTTTTTTTTCAAATCTTAGAAAAAAAAATCTGGACATAAATGTTATTAATGCAATCATTTTTACATCGCGATGACCTTGGGGTCATTCAGATGTATTGCTATCGCCTAGATTTCCATTATGTAAATTAGTTTTGGGTTTGTAACCGATCTATAAACATGATAAATATGCGCACATAAACGAATGCAAAATAACATTCCTTATCGTTTGATATAAATACATCTCTTCAATGAATACTGATAAAAATATTTTTGTTTACAACATAAATTAATAATATGAAAATGTTTTGTAGTTAGATATATATATATAAGTAAAAAATCATTGATAATATCAATGCAGACGTACCGAAAAATTGTGTTGAAGCATGCGGAAGAATATCTCAGAGAACGTTTTGCGAGGACCGGTAACTCTGTTATTGTTTTTGCGGGAAAATATGAATGCCTACTCGTATCCAATCTTAGAAAAATCGAATTT